ACCTCAAGGGGACGCGATAGAGAGACGAGACAAGATTCCCCCCTGACACGTGTGGAGAACCCAGAGGAGAAGATTATCCCCCGTGATATTACACTGGGAATCATTAATGCGTACTAAATGAATGACTTACACATGATTGTAGTTTTTATATAAATTCACATTTTAATTTTTCGGAGCTTAATCTCGAGTGGAGCACAATAAAACAGCACACTCAAATTACCAGGGAAAAATGCAAACATGAATTAGTTTTGCCAACACTGCGTAATTGGGAAGGATATACAAGAGTATAATCAGAGTATAATCAGGTTGTGAACGGCGATGCCGAAATCTACATGTACGAATTTATTTTTCTTAAATTATGACTGAAAGAAGGTGAATGAAATTACAAACTATGTAGTGTGTTCAATAACTCATATATGAACAACAACTTTAATAAATATGATTTTACTTGGTAAAAGTCCTGTATTTGTCTGCATAAAAACGAAAAAAATTCACAATGTCGAAAACGAAAAATCATCGCAGTATTAATAGCTATTTGCGCGTTGCAGGGTTTCTCCAAGTTGATATCCTGTTTATCAACAAAACAATGTTCTTACATGTATATTGGCATTTTCTATGTAAAGTATGTATATTTTCACAGGTTTAAGACGTCCGCTTTGCTCTTCGCATCACCAACGCGAGAATGGCAACATCACGTAAACGAGAGTACTTCACCAAAGAAGAAAATTGTATTTCTAAAGACATACAAGACAGCCAGTACAACGATCACCTCGATACTGGAACGGTATGGACTCAGCCACAACCTGTCATTTCTCCTACCAGCATCGGGTCATGCCTGGTTTTCAAGAACAGAACGCTTTAATCGCGACATGCCGATACTCCCACCGATGCCCAATACGTCTTACAGTATGCTAGTTGGCCACGTACCGTTCAAGAAAGACGCCTTGGAAGAACTCATCCCCAACGCCACGTACGTCACGATAATACGGGAACCTGTAGCCACCTACGAGTCCATTTTCGGTTTCTTCAATATAGCCCACAAATTAGGCATCCGACAAAGTAACAGCACTGACTCGCTAGGTGTGTTTTTGTTAGACCCTGAACATTATATTGGACGCGCAAACGATAATTTCCAAAAAACACTGCTCAGAAATCGACAGATGTTTGATATTGGACTGGATGTTAAAAACTATGACAACCAAACTGTTATCAGCGATGTCATCACCCGTGCCGCAACAGAGTTCGATTTAGTGATGATTGCGGAGTATTTTGACGAATCGCTTCTTCTTCTGCGAAAACTTCTGTCCTGGGAGTTTGAAGATATTGTTTACTTGAGACAGAACGTCAGAAGTGACGCTTTACGTTACGAGATCGATGATTGGAAGCGACAACAGATACTAAAATTGAACGCAGCCGACGTCAAACTTTATCAATACTTCAACAGAACTCTCTGGAAGACAATCGAGACATATGGCGAGTCTTTTGCAGATGATCTGGCTCGTTTTCGCAGCATGCTGTGGAAGATTCAATACGAGTGTTTGGATGTCGGAAGATTCGTTATCACATACAAAAACCGAAGAAATGACACGCTGTTGAAAGACCACGCCCCCAGTTACTGCAGCGATATCAATCAATTTGATCGAACCAAAATCTTATCTTCGAGGCAAAAACGTTCAAGACGTTCGTCTAAAAAAAGGAACTCATCCCAAAAAAGAATCGCGTTATTGAGAAACTTTACTCACTATAAACAAACGTAAGCCAGTTTTATCGAGAAAATTAAAGGGCGGCAGCCGTCGCGCCGCGTCCTGTTCGATATGGGAACTCATAGCGACGTATACAACGCGTGTAAAATACATTGTTTATTTACATGAAATTCGAACACGCGCTGCGCGACGACCACCGCGCTTTAAGACTAAACAATAAACGAAGGCAAAAAATAAAGCAGACTGTAATGTACTGTTGAAAAACGAAAAAACGTACACCAATACTAAATTAAGGTATTAACTTATAGTATCTGTGTTAACTCGGGCGCATGTGTATTTCCCTTTTCACTGTTAACGTTGCCATGCGACATACTTACGACCGACCCGTTCTAGGTTCACAACATATTTACCTTTCAAGTAATGCACATATATTTTCGGAAAGTTTATTGTAGGAATTTTTAAATTTTGTATTTTTTTTCATGGACACTGTAGTTTGAAATATGCACAGAAAAAGGTTTTTAAAAAAATAGCTTCTTAACTATGCTTCTGTTTCCTGTCAAAATAAGATAAACACATTGTCAATCATTTGTGAAAATTTCAAAACAAAAGGTCAAAGCGTCTAGGAGCTATTTTTTTAAAGTTAATTTGCATAACAATTCATTCAGTAAGAAGTTTGATAATGCTCATAATTAAAATTGCTGTAACAGTTGCAAATTTAAATGTATTATCGTTTTGTTAAAAGTTAAATATAGTGCATAAAATAGAGATCCCGTCATTTCTTTTTTTTCACCATGTTTCTGTTTTTATTATTTATGTACAGCCTAGCTAAATCTTGCTAAGCATTCAAAAGAGAGAATGTTTGCACCTGTTATCTATATGTCAAAATCGTGTTTTTAGTATGTTCCACTATTCACAATTCTACACAATTTTAACAGTCTATAGCCAAGACTGTTTGGATAATAAAAAGCAAAAGAAAAAAATCACTCCTAAGTGCCTGTGAACCTGCATCTCTACCTTAAATGTAACTCTCCACTGTTATTATTTGAATGTAGTGGACATAAACAAGGATAATGCACTTATGGTTGTCAATGTCCCAAACCTTTGAGGTCAAAAGTCAAATTTCGTCACCTTTCACAAGATAAAATCCATTTGTTTTCATGTTTTTTCCCCGCCATTTTGACCAAGCCTTGCAGTCGCAAGTTTACAGTTTTATGTATAGTGAGTCTTTCAAGGTCATAGGCCCAAAAAGTTGTACAGATTGCTTATTTGAAAACAAAATAATAATATATATGTACATTTACAATCATCATATTAATATTACAACAATTCTTTGTTTCGCTCCTTAACTTTAGGGCTTGAAATACAAAAGCTGCAAGCCGCATCAAAATATTTTTATCTTCTGATTTCATTAAGTCAATGAACTTATTAAAAGTAGGTGGGTTATAAAAGAAATACGGTAAGTACTTGTCTCTGGGATTTGTTAAAAATGTACAGACTAAAAGAAAATGATATTCATTTTCAATTTGGTTCGAGTCACAGAGAGTAAAAATCCTTTGATCTCTTTCCGTTTTTCCCCGGTTAGCTTCAATAAGCAAACAATGGGCTGAGCAACGGAATCTTGATACATAGCTTCTATGTTTAAAGATATTAACTGAACAAATATAATGCTCGGGTGTAATTGTAGTTTGAATTCTCTGTAAGTTTCTAATTTATTCATTGTACATATGTCCCCAACCCATTCACGATGATATTGATATTTTTAACCTCCTGGGCATGCCACGTTTCATCTAAGTTACATAGAAAAAAAAAGGTTTTTCACTTCAGCTACCTATGTATTCTTTGATTTCCACCCTGACTCTTCTATGTTATACAACATATTGTAACATTTGCGTGGATACCTGGAAGGTGGCATATTGACCAATTTCGCCCAGTATTTCACACACCGCTTTGCTGTATAAAAGTAAATGGGATATCTCCCACATTCACTCAAAACACTATTATTCGGAGCTCTGTTTGAAATGCCTAGAAATCGTCTGCATGCATAATACTGTACTCGCTCTAAAGTGTCATATTTCCTAAAACCCCATATCTCTGCCGCGTATATTAATATTGGCAAGACCATTAAATCGAAAATTTTGAAAAAAGTTTTATAGGGCAGGGGACCTATTTTTCTTGTATTTTTGAGATGGCAATAAATTGAACTCTACTATTGAATCAGAGAACATTGTTACATCATCCGCGAATAATAAGCAAAATAATTCCGTATCATGCGGGGAAAGTCGAATCCCATGTTGTTCCGTTGTTTCCAGTTCAGTTACCAACTCGTTGATAAAAAAAGGAGAATAAAAAGGGCTCAACATACAGCCTTGGCGAACACCAATTGGCCACTCAAAATAATCTGTAAAACCACCAACGGTCCTCACACATAACTTAACATTGTAAAAACATGTTACCACTTTCATTCCCCCTTTTTAATAAGGTATACCAAAGTCTTTGTCTTTCTACTCTGTCGAAGGCCTTCGAAAAGTCTACAAAGGCACAGTAGAATTTACCCCGTTTTTTTTGTTAGAAATTTCTGGATAATAGAATGAAGAACAAAAACCACTGTCAAAAGTGGAATAGCCTCGTTTAAATCCCGCCTGTGCCTCGTCTACCTTTTGAAGGGCCTCCACCCAGAAAAACAGTTTTATGACCCACATTGCATTGTTAATTTCTGGAATAAATTAATCACTATGTGAATACAAATTAGTTTTCATAACGGATCAATTTACTCTAAATACGTGGCATTAGTATTATTGTAAATAAATAGAATGAATAACAAGTGCGGACTCGTTTATGGAATACATTTAATCATAGTTGTACAAAAATAACAATACACTGTATCCACGTGGCAACAACATTGTAAAATAGGTGATTCTTGAAATATCGAAATGCCAAACTTTCAGAAGTGAATATGGCGTTGGGATACCCTCACTTCATCAAAATTGAACGTCATCAAATGTCCATAACAAATAAATAACTGGAACTTTAACACTCGGCCGTACACCAAAATATACAATATCGCCAAAGAAGATTTGATACTATTTACAAAATTACCTTACAATGCTTTTAAATATCATGCATTCAATATTTAAAAAGCCATTCATATGGCACAATACAATCGTGAATACGTACTATTATTAACTAGTAAGATGCGACATATTGAATTTCAATTTTAATTAGTAATCATCCTATGCACTCATTGCACGTATTTTATATTATAGAAACAGAGAGAAATACATAAATGTTATTATCAGTCCCAATATTTAGCAACGAGGCGCTTCCGAATGGCTAAAACCGTATCTTTTTTCAATGACGGACGACTACGCCCTTTGCTACACATACTTGTTCCGTCACTAGAGGGCGCAATATATATAAACGATGTATGAGGAAAAAACAAGGGAATTACAGATACAAGCACAAGCACAAGCACAAACAAAATGGGAAAATACAGGACATTTGATCTCCTTGTATCATGTTTCACGTCATTCTAATGCGTTATTTTTCTCAATATACTGACACCATTATTGAGATACGAGTTCAATGCCTTGCCACAATGCGGGTTGCGGTCAGACTATCCACAGTCATTCATTATCGTAATCAATTTATATATCAAGGCCAAGAAATGGAAAACCCGAATAGAAACTTTTATCTACACTCAATTCATGTCGGTGTTTATGTTGGGACGGGTGAACACAACAACGTGACACAATGTTAAAAAATTGTTATTTATCTGACCTATATATCTAACATATATGCATATCGGACATACTTACTTGATATGCATATCGGACATACTTACCTGACATGCATATCGGACATACTTACCTGACATGCATATCGGACATACTTACCTGACATGCATATCGGACATACTTACTTGATATGCATATCGGACATACTTACCTGACATGCATATCGGACATACTTACTTGATATGCATATCGGACATACTTACCTGACATGCATATCGGACATACTTACCTGACAAGCATATCGGACATACTTTCCTGACATGCATATCGGATATATTTACCTGACATGCATATCAGATATATTTACCTGACATATATCGGATATATTTACCTGACATGCATATCAGATATATTTACCTGATAAGCATATCAGATATGTTTATCTGACCGAAATTGTCTTCTAACTGTAAGGCAGTCGCTGATTGGCTGCTGAGCTGGAATAACAATTTTTGGTTTCAAATACCCCGGGAAAGTGTTCTATGTTCTTCGTGCAATTAGGTGTTAGTATTTGAGTGATTTCTCCATACAAAACGACGAATTCGACCGAAATTTGTTATCGGTTGGCTAAATATTACCCCCAATGAATCGTATTTCTGTGATATTTTCTTGGTATTTTTGTCCTGATTTGTAGGAATTTGAAAAACGCGTTTCACAACTTGTCTCTTATTGAGTTTATTAAAGACGCCAGGAAAACAACATTTGACAGCAAACGTAATAGTATTCGTTGAAATTTGCGGATTTACCGATACACACTGTTGTTTACAAACTCACTGTTTTCAGTGACTCGTCAAAGGATATTTGAGGTTGCAGTTCTTATAAATCATATGGGTATATCTAGATGCAATTTCAAACAAAATTATTTTCAAATTTATCCACATCTTGTCTTTATTAAAATATATACATGTACAATCAGACCTTGTATTGTTTCAATTGGTACAATTTGGCTTTGGTTCTTACGCCCCCCCCTATAGATAAAATATATTATTGAAAATGTCAGCATGGCCGTGCCTTCCCGACACAATCTTGCCCAAGATAGCAGTCACTCGGTGCTTTCGTAACCGCACACAGATACATGGACGTATACTGTTCGCTGTGCACGCACACGCATGCGCACCTTTCCCAGAGTTTGGTTCAACACAACGTGAAACACAAAATGCAAATGATAAATCAGCCACGTGTAAGCTACCTGATTTGCCAACAATATTGATACCAGATTACCATTACAAACTGTTACTGCTGGTTGGGTTGCTTTTTTGTTCAGAGTAATGTTGTATGCATTTTGATCGTACAAGTGAATCACACTAAAACAATGAAAACAGATGAAAGTGACAACTTGTTTGAAATACAATAACATGTACACATGCTACTATTGTGAGTTTTGCATTACGATGAAGTTCTTGATTTGATCCTGTACATATTGTCACAGTTGCTGCGTTATTAACCCTACAACCAAAATACAAGTAATTTAATCATTTTCGCCCATCTGTCTTTCCAGTTCTTAAATATGATTTCCTATCATAGCTATAATAAAAATTGGTAAAACCTTTGTTTATTTTGTTTTTACTTAGCAATTCCCAATGATTATCTTTATCTTAACAATGGTCATGATACGACTGGAGACATTTGAGTAATGTGATATTGTTTTTGGCGGTCTGGGTTTAGATTCCAAGAATAAAGAGCTTTTGAATGTAATTCCAAAATTTCCGCAATTTGTTGCAAGAATCATTCTCAAAATCATTGTGCTCAAAATTGTGAGTACAAATTCAGGCCTACACAAGTAAGCAATGTGTTATGCATGCCAGCTAGATCATCAATTGTTATTACGATTAAATGTTAATAACACTTAATTAATGTTAATTATATGACTACGCTTGCTCGGAATCATGGATCTAAATTGCATTTGCTAATCAGTTGTCGTAATAATAATCAAGGAATGTGACAACTTGTAACATTGTTACGATAAAACTAGCATGTCGTAGTTCGGAGTTGACCATTGGAAACTCTAGAAGGAGAAATATTACATAAAATCCACTTCCCATTTCTAAGACTAAACCTTTAAATCGATAATCTGTCAAATTTTAGTCTGTGTTAGGTGCGAGCTGTATATAATCAATAATTTAATTTCGACTGACATTTCTAATGAAGTTAGCATGCTATGGGATAAATTACGTTCTTTTAAATGGAGGTGGCCGACGCACGGATGACGATGGTGACTTTTAATATTGCGCAAATCGTCGCGTACAAACATGGTTTAACTGGCTTGTTAAAAAGGAGAGACAAAGTCGCATTAAAAACCCATAATACAACACAAGTACAAGACAAAAAATCAGCTGTATTAAAACACTGCACGTCTTCTAACCCTTGTTTTCACGGGGCATTTTCTGACCAATAGAACCTTTACGAAGAATTGTCTAAAAACCGCCCGCTAGTTATTAATAGAAAACATCATATTTTTAGGCAACAGTACGAGACACCTTTGCTTGTGTTCGAACTTGAAAAACCAAGCGCATATACAAACACATTGTCTTTTGATCTAACGTTGTGGACACTTTGACAAAGTAATTTTATTGTATTTATACACTGTATATTTCAACTCCTTTTAAATGTGGTTGTTTTTTACACTTGCTCAACGCCTTTTCTATAACATATACGTCCATACAAAGTGAATACAATATTTGTTCATATGCACGCGCGGATTTGTATCTCTTCCAGGCGCACCTCCCCCTTCAGCTCGAAAAAAATGACAAATCAATTGACAAACCCTGCCAACCGGAGGTGCGCGGACGCAGTCTTCGGTCACGTCAATAGGAGCGCGCCCCTTACCGAATTTATGGATCCGCCAGTGATATGGAACACTGGGTGACGTTGGGAAGAAACCAACAATGGATTAATGTGGACCACTTTGGATTCATGACCAGGCTTCTTCAATCTCTGTCTGTAGGTACATAATAACCAGAATTAATTTATATCAATGAAAATATGTAGTTAAACAATTCTGTTCGTGGACAGAACAAAATGATACAAAATACAGTTGTCATGCAAAGTTTCTTGTGAAAGTATTCTTTGTTATGGGAATTTGTTCAGTCGTTTATGATAACAAATTCTTGTGTTTTACATGACAAATAAATCAATGCTTAAATAACTATTTAAAGCAGAGAATTTAAAACTTTTACAAACTACAGGTTTTAAACCAAAACAGAGAGTATTATACTGACTTTTGCCACATCATTTCACGCATCTTTCAACTAAAACTCTGTTTGTTGGTTTGTTAGTTATACATTTTACAATGATTGACATGTCACAGGGATGATTTCAGCAACACCATGTTAGGTAACATTAGACCAACATACAATGGTTGTTCCGTGACTTGACTAAAAGTATATCATAGCACTGGCCAGTGAGGGTATAACACAATATATAAATACTGTTGATCAGATTAAACATGCGTGTAGTTTTAAAAGTACTACTGCCTTTCTACCCGTGGTACATTACCATCATCCCTGTATCGTTATCACAATTAAGCTACCCTGGGGGAGAATATTACGATTAACATAACATTGCACATAGTTTACACATGAGCTGCGACTTAAGGATAGAGTTATCCACATGCTAACTTCATTGTATAAAAGGAAAACTATTTTGATTTAAAGTAACTGAATATCCAATATTCTCCTCCTGAAATAAGGATGCCGCAACATGTATGTTATTTGTTTATTGTATGGCGCGACTACAGATGACACTCAATATATATATATTTGCAGATATTTCCTTGGTGTTTCCACACGATCACCTAACAATTGTGTACTGGCCGAGTGTGGAAGATACTCTATTTTCTTTTACACCGCAAAACGATGCATCAAATATTGGGCTAAAATCATCAATATGCCAAGTAACAGATACCCACGTACGTAAATGCTACAACATGTTATATAACATAGACACATCGGGGGTGAGGGCGAAGCCTACTTGGGTGGCAGACATAAGGAAACTACTGTTTTTGTGTAAATTAGAACATGTTTGGTATTGGCAGAAAGTTGGCAATATTCAGGAATTTGTAAGCGTATTTTCATGTCGTTTTAAGAAATGCCTACATTTTAAGTGGCTTACTGATATTTGTTCCTTAGACAAACTGGTTACATATCGGGAATTACATTGCAGCCGGAAAAATACTTAAAATCTGTTGTAATTTATTCCCATAGAGCAGCTCTTGCACGGTTTCGATGTTCTTCTTACTGCCTTCGCATTGAAAGAGATCGTGGTGTAATTGAGAGAGACGAACGTATTTGCCCTCTTTTTGACGTAGATGAAATTGAAAATGAGTTTCACTTTCTCCTTGTTTGCCCATATTACCATGAATTGCGAACCTCATACTTACCCAATACATTTTATAAGAGATATATGATTTTATTTAAATATTCTGTAAAGTATTTTTATTTTTCGAATGTTCTTCTTGTACGTGTAAATGCTTTTATGGGCCGATGGCCTTGAATTTGTAAATAAAGACCATATATATATACGATATATATATATTTATGTGGCAATTATCACAGTTGAAATTTCATATAATTTGTGTGCATGTAAATTATACATAGCAAGCCCTAGTTAATTGATTGCAAACAATATTACAACAACTACCACAATTCAATTTAATAATAAGTCTTATTTTTGGTGCTAAATAGTGGTGATGATTGATACCTTGAGTTGTTGGTGAGACGTCACTGTCAGGTAGAATTGTTCTTTAAAACGGGGAAATTTGTTGTCACAGCTAACTACATTCATTCATTCATTGTGTAAAAATATTTTGTATCACTTTGTACTGTCTACGGACAGTTTTAGTTTAGATGGTCTGGGTGTAATATATATTTTATTCCGGTTATTATGTGCGTGTGTATTTTGTGATGTTCTAAAAACATGGAGTATATAAAGGCTGAGTGAAGGTGGTTATTATCCACTGAATCACCAAGCTATACATAGGTAAGAGCAAACCGACTACTAATATGCCGGAGGTAGATAGACGTTGAATATATGAGGAAATGCGTATTTGGGGGAGGGGTAAACTCTGTTCTTATTCTGATTTGTTTGTCGTTCGTCTCCTTGTAGGAGTTTCACGGTAAAAATAAAACGAACATGGGATATGTGTTGAAAAAGGCTGACTACAAAGTAAGAGTGAAAACAGACAACCTTGTTGGATCCGGCACAGATGCAGATGTACATATCATCCTATATAACGAATCGGGCCAGGCCTCACGTACAACGGAGCTTACCAAGCTTGGTAACGACTTCGAACGTGGTGATACTGATTCCTTTGCTATTTATGATATGCCGAATTTTGGTCCCGTCGCTCGGATAGAGATATGGCGAGATTCTTGGTTAGATGACTCGTGGTACGTCGACTACATTGAAGTCGAAGACAAATCACACAGAATGAAGTATCCGTTTCCGATTCAACGATGGATCACTCGACGGCATCTGGTAATCGACAAGTACGACTCCTCGCTTCCTCAAGATTCATCACAGCCAGAACAAATGAGATTGGAGTTGGACCGAGAACTGAACAAATATCAGTTTGTAACGCTCAACGAAGGATTACCGCCAGTGGTATGTTATATTTAGCCTATTATAGTTTTTTTTTTCATTTTTGATATAATCAGTATTTCAATGGGAAGGTATTTTGGCAGAGTCATTGTAGTGTATGTCATATCAATGCATATTAATATTATCATTTGGGTTGCCTAACACTGAATAGCTCTAATACAACTAGCACTGCCCCCACCCCCAACGTGACACTATGGTACGTCGATTAAAGTAAATCCATGTAACGTATATTTCATGGCACCTAAGATAAAGCGACAAGAACACTGGCATGATTTATACAACTCAAACAACATAGAGAATCTCAGTTAAATGAGTTAAACCACACACAACGTTTCACAGAAATGCTGATTAAAGGGTGGCAGTCGTTGCGCCGCGCATGAGCGACATGTGTTAATAAACATTGATTTTCCCACAACCCAATGTACTATTCACATATGAATATCACGTGTATGAAGTTTGACCTGGGCGCGACTTGCGCCAATCACCGCCGGAGACTTATTCGATACCTTCTTATAAACCTGTATACACACAAATGCCAGCGAGTGTATATATTTTGTTGATGTGCTATATGTCGTGGTATACCCACCTTCAGCTGTGTTTGTTTTGCCTCAGGTTACACTAAATTCAAACAAATAGTTCACGATTTATTATATATCTGTTGAAACACTTTACTTCAATTCAGTTTTTGGCATAGTTTTATATATACCAAGTTTAAATAAAATCTATTTATACACGACCGAGATCCGATTCTGGAATAATAGAAATGCATTGTGATGCAATTTCAATATTGACTCGGATCATCAAACGAATGCATGTCTAAATGTGCGATGCGGTGTCTTACGTATATCAAACGTTAAACAAGATTGGTGATGGTATGAATCTGGAGCTGCTTGTATTTAAACAAATGGCCGCGGAATGACCGAAATGCTTGTTTGATTTTGATAAATTTTCAACATTGAAATCTGAATCTCATATGTCAAATAAATACATGTGTATATGTGCGATATGGTGTATCATATACATATAAGATTGAACGCGATTGGTCAAGACATGTCATATATATGGAATGAGGACAGCATTTGTGAAAACTAGTCGGGAGTCGGTCATTTTGAATCGGATCTGAAAAATAAAATGACGTGCGTCAAGGTATTATCTGTGCAATGTATTTATCAAGTTTGAATGAAAACCATCAATACACGACGGAGAGGCATTTATTTAATGGCAGAATAATTGTTTTTGATGAATTTTTAAGCATGACAATGACGTTCAACTTGAATCAGATCATGAAATAATTTCAGATTGCATATGTATCCAAAGATGTATGATGTATGTTTGAAGTTTGCATCTGCTCGGTCCAGGCATGTCGAAGATTCCTTTTTATTTAATACATAGTTCGAGTAATGCAAAAGTAATGCTTTGTTGGGGGTGAAATGAAATGAAATAATGCAAATGTTTTCTTTTATACCACTTTTCATCATAACAAGAATATGCAATTTTGGGACAAGGATTGGTATTTCGGGGCGCAAAGGCTTATGGGATGTAATGCCGCTCAAATTAAACTCTGCACCGAGATACCAAGCAAGTAAGTATACGGTATTAGTCTATTTATTTGTTTTACAATTACATATTTAAGTCACATTTTTCAAATACACATAATTATGTCACTCTCATGTTTTAATTTCTTTATTTTTCTAAACATGTAATTATGTTTTGTCTTTAAAGTACATTTATTTGCTACACAAACGTATGTCGGTTGCGTGTTTTAAGTGCATTATTTGTTATGCTCATAATTATGTCAGTTTCATCTTTGGAATACATTAATTTGCTATACTTAATTTTACCAGATACATAATTATGTAAGTCTTGTGTGTGTCTGATTATTCTTCCCACTTTCAGATTCGGTGTAACAAATGAGCTGGTCGATGGTTTGTTGGACAACATGTCACTGGACGAGGCTTTATCGAACGAGCAATTATTTATTGTCGACCACAAAATACTGGACGGTATTACAAGCACGAAGCTGAATGATCAAATGGTAATTAATATAACTAAATGGTCAGGGTTGAGTATAGCAAATCGAATTTGTATACATAGTCGCTTACTGTTGTATTTTTTTTTTATTTTACCAGGTACTGTGTGCACCCATTGCTTTGTTCTTTGTAAACAAAGAGGAGCAGTTAGTTCCTGTAGCGATTCAGCTCTTCCAAGAAAAAGGAGTTGACAATCCATTAGGTGTTTACTCATGTGTTTATGTCATGTGTGTGTTTGCGAATCGATCTTAAATTGTATGATACCAACCACAAGCAATTGTCTGTTAAATATGCGATTTTATTTTATTTTATTTGCATGTAACTTGTTTTATGCCCAACAAATTGCAAGGTGTTCATTGGTTAAACTAATATTACTTCATAGAATAATTGACAAAATATCGTTGCTAGTCAACGAATGGTTTGGTCTGTTTCACGTATATGTTGAACCAGATTCGTTACAAATAGGTTAAGTTTCAAGTATACATGGTATTAACGTGCACCCGATAATTTGGGGGTATTTAAAATGAGAGCAATTGGTAAAAACTTTTGACTTTTGCAATGAAGGATCAATATGTATATAATTTTGTGGCTGGTTTTAAAAGTTACATTACCACTATGGTCATTGTTTTGGTAAGCACACAGAATTAGAAAATGACATTAAAGAAGCAAGGCGACAGTTGTTGGATGTTGTCGGAAATGGCTTTTTAGAAAAGAAATCAAAATAATAGCACACTAATTTCTAGAGACGTTTCATTGTCTAATCATACGTTTATTGGGACGAGTTAAAACAGAACAGAGTTAAACCAAACACATGTGAATGAGTTGAGTAACAGCTAGCATGAGGTAAATCGTTTGATAGACATGAATACGTATATTACATGTGAGTATAATAAACGTTGAAGAGAAATCACTAATTCAAATAAATAGTCATTATATCTACACAGAATATACCATATTCCATAATACAATTATACTGTTTCATTTTCATATGATATGAAATTATTGAAATGAGGATTTACCTAAAATACAAAATCTTCGCGACTGCTGATGATGACGAAGACACACCATTTCAACTATTTTCTGAACCACAACATGTTAAATGATATATCTTATTTTTAGGTGTTTTCGCCAACCAATCCAAAATACACGTGGATGTTTTTTAACAACGCTGATGCTGTCATTCATGAACCATCAACTCATTTACTTTGCACTCACTTGATAATGGAGTGCTTTGCTGTGTGTATGCATAGACGCCTGTCACAATCTCACCCTATCTTCCGGCTGTTGGAACCTCACTTCCAGTACCTGATATCCGTTAATCAGTAAGTAGTTTGACATGCTAAGATTCAATGACATTTTTATTTTCTTGAATGTTATTGGGCGTTCACCGACATCGTTCTTTTTTGGTAGCTGCCAAAGTTTGGCAACTTAACTCTTCAAAGACAAACAAACCATTATTTGATGCGAAATATTTAATGATTTATTCATGTATGCACTTAAATAATATACATACCTGTTTGTATATAAAAAGTGAGATATGAAAATCATGAGTTTACCTCCTACTTTATATATCTGATAAAAAATCACGTCTGCATTTCAAACATTAAAATAGATTCATTATATATAAAAACTCTTATTTTAAGTGGTAGTCACTTTAAGGAGTTGAATAATTTCTGTTTATGTATCATGTACGCTGCATCTTGTATCACACGTGCACATCTTCCCTGTATTTTTGCATTGAACTGCGCATTACACTGGCCCTGGCTACAACACCAATCCAGATGCGACAATATAACATAATTGAAATTGTCTAAGGCAGTTTTTTTAACCGTATAAGAGCAAATCAGTCGAAATGTGGTAATACATGACACCACGTAATAAATCATTAATCTATGTCATTAATGTACACCCACAGTATTGGATTACCAGTTTTATTGGACCCCGATGGTTGGTTTGACAGAGTGCTGACAGGTGGTAGAGAAGTTGCCTTTGAGGTGACGCGTCGAGTGTGGAATAATTGGACCATTGCATTTTATCTAATGATCTCAAGTCACGTAGTGTGGATGACCCCGCAGTCTTGCCCGCATATCCTTACCGTAATGACGCAATGTAGACATGTACCGCTATCAAGTCGTACGTCACTCAGATCGTTAACGGACATTACGGTGAGAAAATAACTTGTTAAATCTACTCTTTTCTCGCCAATGTAGAATCTCGAAATGAACAACATTATTTCTATTGTTCCATTAGAAGACACGGAGAAACTGACTAATGAGTGGGAACTGCAGGACTGGGCTGATGAGCTATCTTCTCCTCAGCCTCGTGGTTTTGGTATAAAGGTTGGTTTGCGATTATCCATGTATTTGAATGAGCATACATTATACAGGAATTATCATATTCTAATAGTATAAATAACAACATACCAATATCCATAACTGTACACTTGCTCAGTAAAGTACAAAAACAAAAAAATGACAATCAATCTACAAAAAGGTAGGCGCAAAGTACAAACTTACTCAGCAACCTACTATAATACAGAACGATATATGGAACCATAGGCATAAAAGAAAATGATTCTAGCTATATACACTGTAACCTCAATATAATGAACACCTTTATAATATATTTGCTTCATTATATTGAACATTTCACTATAATAAACTAATTGTATGTCCCCCAAAGAGTTCGTTATAACGAGGCTACAGTGTATTATTCTGGATATGCTATACAATGATTGACTTAGTCGCTCTCCATGAACCTTTTGGCATATGAGCTTCGCGAGTAGCATGGTATTTGTTGAGCATTGAGTTATTAGCATGGTTGATATCAGTAGTAGTATTGCATTTCACCGACAAGTAGTACGACTGGCTTGCAATTATAATTTATCCGGGACTCACTTATAAAACGTGTTTATATAACCACACATGTACATGTTTTTGTAATGCAGGGTATGCCCGGCAATGGCAAGTTTTCCACCAAGACTGAATTGATAGACACTCTTACATCTGTAATATTCATTTGTTCAGTGGGACATGCATCTGTTAATTTCAACCAATATGATGAGTATAGTTCACCATTACGATACTCCATGAAATTGCTAGGACAGCCACCTGAATCAGCAGAGGTAATCATATTTTTTATCACTGACATATATTGCATTTCAATGAATGTTGATAATCGTCAGACAGTGATAAAGGTTTACTGAATGTGTTATTGGCTTCTGCTAATGATCCATAGAGTTGTGCTATTTAAAATTTCATCTATTTTTCATCTAGGTTGCGTTGACCGAAAGCGATATATTACAGCATATTCCCAACAAAACTACGGTTATCGAAGCAGTGGTCATGACAAAGACATTAAGTTCCCATGGCACGCAATCATTAGGCTATTTCGATGAGATGTTCCAGAAAGACCCGATTTCTATCAATGCACTTAGAGAGTAAGTCGTTAATTATATTACTCAACAGCAAAAATATAATAATGATAATTTTATCGGAATAACAATGATTAACTTTCACATGTTGTACTCTATTATAGTTTTAGAGAAAATCTGATTGAAGTGGGCAAGATTATTGAGAGCAGGAACAAGGACCGGATAGCCAAGTACCTATACCTTCATCCAAGTCTTCTGCAAAATGCGATTTCAATTTAAATATATGAGATACAGATTCAAATTACGTATAAAATATAGGAATTATAACGTATGTTATATGACAAAACAGTTATTATTATAATTTGACAACCATTTTGACACTTAAGTTAGATTAGAGGGATTTTCAAATTCCAATACACTATTGCCGACTTCATGGGATATTATTCGATACAAACCAATGCAAATCACGTAGCTTAGGCATATGTAGTGTTGAAAAATGTTTTTGAATTAAAGACAAAAGATAAGGTAAGATTTTATCTGCATTCAGATCAGATGTATAGACTGTCTGTATATAATGGAGCTAGTTTATTGTTCTGCTGTATATATATATAACAAAATGGGGAGGCGACCAATAGAAACTGCTGCATATTTCAATAAGGGCGAGAACGAATTAATGTGGTGTACAATGGGAGAAAACCGATTCGGGGGAGAAAGTGGTGAAGTTATGCCATTATGGCTATTAGCAATAATATTTGAGTCAATAGTTTTTTTTAATACGTGACTTCCACGAGAGCTGATTGCCGATAGATGTACCAAGGCCGATACATTTACTTACTACCTTAGAGAAAAAATGAATATTCAAAGTTGGATTAGTGTTCCTGGCGAAAATATCACAGAGTTAGTTGACAATTGAGTTTGTGGGTTATCACATAATGTAATAACGAGCGTGTGATTTGATGAAATTCAATATTTCAATAGTTTAGTTATTATAAGAGTTGAATAGTTAAATCTAGTTGCATTATTAGTTTGCAAGAGTTGGTCAGTTTAAGGCTTGTTGAGATTATTTTGGTTAGAGATTTTTGTCATTTATTTAATTTACGACTGTTCTAGATATTTGTGTAGCGATTATACCTAGTTACAAAAACCTATAGCTTGTGTTGTGTTGTAATTTATTGAGTAATCCAAGAATTTGTTATTTGATTTGATTTGATTTCACTTTCCATATGGGGGAATTCGAAGAAACATTAATGTAAGTATTTGTCAAGTAATGACATATAGCCTTTAAATTCATGTAATTAGTTACATACTGCAATTCATTTTTTATTTACATGTTATGTTCATATTAGGTTGTAGATGTACGCGGGGTCTTTCTTTATTTGTGAAAGACATACCCATTCATTAATTGATTAAAAATGAATATTCATATAGGGATTTCAACAAAGTACAATAGACATATAACAATCACAATATACATGGAAAAAATACATCATACATGGATACATTTTCGTAGTGGCTGACTGTCTCCATGTTCATGATTATGTAATAGTATCATGGCAATACTTAAAATTGATCATGCACATTCTTTGATAAGCATATTGTTGCGTAGGTTTCAGGTGCTCAAGACAACGTTTTGTTCGATCTGTACATGACGGTATGACAGAAAACAAACAAACTAATAATATCCGTACACAATTATTATGACGTCAATGAAGAATGATAACAGTTGCAACTAAGAGTTGGTAGTCGCAATAAATAATAGAATAAGCCAGAAGTGTTCGAAGTGTGTTTGGTTTCATAATTTCAATCAAAAATAATAAAAAATTATTATATACACGATCAATTGAAATTTGTATGTGAAAATAGATTTTAACTCTCAAAACGCTCAGTAAATGTAAACTCGGAAATTACCTACTCAAATTTGCTGGGAGTTTCTTCAATATCTGGTTAAAATGCTATTTATCACTAATATTATTTTAACTATTTGTGGTAATTTTTTCCATTTTTAACTTTAGTTATATTAAAAGTATTACTTTCTTCTCTAAATATCTTGGGGATATTTAGATACTAGTAACTGCCCCAGTATCATATGAATGTGGATGACTTTTAAATGTTTTTGCAATTTTCTCCTAAGCCACGGTGGTCCGGGTACATGCCTTAATAGGATTTAGCTTGAATATTTCAATGTTTGACCCTCTCAACTTTATATTTTGGCCCAAACACAATACACGCCGTTTTGCCAAGATGGAGAGACAGGCCATTCATTGTCAGTCAGTCATTCGATAGTTGGGAAGTTCTGGGCTTAGATGTGTTGATAGTTGTGCACAATTTTCACGAGAAACTTTCCGTGCAGTAGCATTAGCACCGTGTAATACACCTTACGCTGACGTAAAGACCGTTTAAGAAACATAAAGGAGATAGTATATTTTGTTGAGGGGACACCACAGGTAATACTCCTCTATTCTTATACCAACCAATTAACCTTCACTACATGCTTACCATTACATGATATGACGTAAACCATTTAATTGACTCTACTGCCACTAGTTTTAATTTATTACATAAAATGTAATGTTCGACCGTGTAAGACATTTTGTTGGCCAAGTAAGACCATGTACACAAGAAGGCTCTAGGAAGGCTCTTTCGGAGTGGACCGTTGGTAGCGTAGCGTTTCACTAGACTGGCACAGTTGGGACTTCTTTTAGTTTTGTCAAAAGAAAAAGGTAACCTGTAGACGCTAAAGAAATACCGACTTTAACGAAGCAGTTCTTATCTGCTCCGGTGGGTGTGAACGTCCCCAAGCCAACTTCAAAGTTGCGTGGGAACGCGACCTTGTGTCCCGCTATGATTGTAATAATGTTGGAGACAGTTGTCTTGCGTTGTTGCACAGTCTATAGCTAAAAAAAGCATCACTGGCATTGGTAGCAACACGGCGAATATGTGACTCGAATTTAAACATTTCCCGCACGATAAAAAAGTACGACCCGGTGATCTATCCAAACCGCTGTTGCATGTGTGGTCATGGAGGTCAAATCCATGAACGAAACGGATGTGTTTCTTTTCACCCCAGGGGTCGGTCTGAAGATTCGTGTTTATAGATTATGAACTTTCAAAACGCATTAGATGATGCAAGGGCAATCGATACAAATATTACTTGAATATACATGTAATCTTAGACAATTATTACAATTCTCTTAATTATCTGAGGTAGAAAGTAATCTTGAAGAAAACATTGTTTGCTTTAAAATGGTATGATTCGTTATTCTGCCAATACAAATTGCAAACGTTACTCTTGAAGCAATACCATTTATATTTGTCAGTTCTCTATACATTAGCAACTGCCTAGAATCGCCAGTAGCAGAGCCCGTCATGACAGAGCATACGTGTTCAACTTTCTGTTGTACTTGTATTTATTGTATTGGCCGTGAAATCCATACGGGTAATTTGAGTCAGGTGTGACCTGTACTTAAATATGTGCAATTAAACTGGCATTGAAAGTACATGTACTACTAGATTCGACTACAATACTATCTACCGTCTGGGCTTGTTTGCTTTTCTAACGCGTAGAGACAAACGCCCGATAAATGGCATGGGATGCCACCACCTAACTTCTGTCCTAAATTATTATATTATAAATGTTACCCCATGACGTACCAATAATCAAAACTGGGAAATTTAATTTCAACATACATTTACTGTTAATAACATTTCACAAAACAATAAACGTTTTGATCAATGCCTCTTCATTTAATACACAAATAAAAAATAAAAAATATAGAAAGGATTACGATTAACAATCACCATTTTATCACATGGATATATAATGTGTATGTATTTAGCGTAACTATGCGAGTGTTGTAACTAATTTGTTAAATTTGCAATTGGTAAATGATTATGCAAATTAACTTTTACGGCGTTATCAGAGTGAGATTTTGTTTTACATTAGCTCGTCAGCTGCCCTCTAAAACTCCGCCAAAACGACGTGGATGTGCACTGGTTTTGGATAAAAAAAGATTGAGCCAAACACAAACGAGTAACTGCCAGAAGCTAGATTTATTTAAAAAAATCAATTACACTTCGAATCGAATTTCACGCAATTTGATTGCAATGTTGTGTTAGGGAAACGACCGAATGCAAAAAGCGCCCACTTTGACAACGCCGTGGATCAAATACGCTATTTATATGTTTATACTTAACACGTTGCATAACACAATACATTTGGCCATATGTACGTCACTATATACATTATATTACACACAAGTGATTCTAAAATACCTAAATTAATCTTACCTCGCACAAAATGAATTGAATTTATACTTTGCTTGATGATGATGGCGATGATGATGGTGATGATGATGGCGATGATGATGATGATGATGACGATACCGTCCCTTCTGGCCTCACACGGGCACGGACTTACATAAAGTTCTCATCCAGACAATTAAAAACGGAAAACTGTCTAGCGGACGAGCAGTCATTTGCTTACACCCAAAGAAAGGAGACAACACTTTAGTCAAAAACTGGCGATCAATTAGTTTATTATGCAGCGACTACAAGATACTTGCAAAAGCTCTTTCACTACGCCTCCGTTCAGTCTTGGCAACAATCATTCATGAAAGTCAAACATGCAGCATACCAGCACGAAAGATCATCGACAATATTCATTACATACGTGACAACATATACTCTATCACGACCAACAATACACCCCTCGCAATTCTCGCTTTGGATCAGAGAAAGACTTTCGATCGCGTGTGCCACCATTACCTGTTCAATACCCTCGCAGCTTTTGGCTTCGGACCTAATTGTATTAATTTCATCAAGATACTATATACAGATATAGAATCGCTCATCCACATTAATTGCTCACTTACATCGCCGCTTAACATTCATCGAGGAATACGCCAGGGATGCTCTTTCTCGGACCAACTATACGTCATCGGAATGGAACCACTTCAAAACAACATAAGAAAACAAATCTCCGCACCAACAATACCCTCTTCGCCTAAAGCCAACACAAATTTAGCCGCGTACACAAACTACGTTAAAATTTTACTCACAAGAAATGACCACTTCTACAAGTTAAAAGACTTCCTCACAGTATACGAAAAAACATCAAACGCGAAATTCAACATCGAAAAATCGGAAGGTTTGTGGTCTGGTTGCTGGCGCAGACACACAGACAACCCACTGGGAATATCGTGGAACACAGGAGGACTCAAAGTTCTAGGGGTTTTCCTCGGTAACAACTACACTTTTGTTCAATAAAACTGATCACAACT